TTTGACTTGAAAGTTGATTAGACTTATGTCCTGGTTTCAGTTAGGACAGAGTTAATTTTCTTCCTAGTAGCTGGTAGAATGCTATGCTTTGGCTTAGGATGAGAAGAGTGCTGATAACACCCTGATGTTTTAATTGTTGCAGAGCAGTGCTTACACCAAGCCAAGGATGTCTCAGCTTCTTGCTCTGTCCTGCCAACAGGCAGGCTGGGGGTGCAGCAAGAGCTGGGAGGGGACAGACCCAGGACAGGTGACCCAAACTAGCCAAAGGGGTATTCCATACCATCTGACGTCATGCTAAACAATATATAGGGGTGGCTAGCCAGGGGAGGGGGGCCGGACTGCTCGGGGTGAGGCTGGGCATCGGTCAGCGGGTGGTGAGCAATTGCATTGTGCATCACTTGTTTGTACACATTATTAGTAGTAGTACTATTATCATCATTGTTGTTATTATTTTTATTGTTATTATTATTTTCCTGTCTTATTAAACTGTCTTTATCTCAACTCACAGGCTTCGCTTTCCTGTTTCTCTCCCCCATCCCAGAGAGGGAGGGGGGAGGGTGAGTGAACGGCTGTGTGGTGTTTAGCTGCCAGCCGGGTTAAACCATGACAACTTAGAATTTATTTTCTTATTTCCTTTACTCTCAGGTGAGAAATACTTATGTTTCAAAGGGAATTTTTACTTTGGTTGTAAAACCAGGATCTATACTGCAGACTTTTTATTAATACTTAGTTATTAGTTTGAGTGGATGATCTGATGAAGGTATGTTATTCTGTGTTAGCTTACAAAGCTATCAAAGAGAGAAGAATGTGAGGATTTTCTGCTTATTCATGCAACTGTCTAACTTCTAACAGGCTGGAAAGAACAACTTCAGACCTCATCCCAAAGTTGAATCCAGCGTTATCAGAATAGAGCCAAAGAACAAACCACCACTTATCAACTTCCAGGTAAAGCATTGGATACTCTAATATTAATGTAACATACTAATAATAGTATTTAATTTCATTTATTTTTCTTTTTACTTTCTTTATGCTGATTTCACTATGAAGTATCCATTGGCATTTACAGAACACCAAAATACTCCTCTACTGATGCATTAGTACGTTACCTGTATGTGCCACCATCAATTTAGGTTCAGCTCGCGTGCTGGAACAGGCTCCCCAGAGGCATAGTCATGGCACCAAGCCTGTTGGAATTTAAGAAGCATTTGGACTGTGCTCTTAGTCATATGGTCTGAATTCTTGGGTAGACCTGTGTGGTGCCAGGAGTTGGACTTGATGATCCTTGTGGGTCCCTTCCAACTCGGAATATTCTATGACTTTCTTATAGTATTTCTGACAAGGCTGAAGTACCATCTCCATGTCAGTTGGAGAGTTGTTACTCATAATGCTCCTTTCATAGTACTTCCCATCTCCTAGAGACTCTTCCAGCTGATGAGTTTGTTACTTATGATCAAAAGAGTGCCTATTAGAACTCTTCATAGACAATACAGAGTCATCTGAAGATAAGACATTATAGGATAGTATTCTTCAAGTTAATTTTTAAAATACTTCGATCTTCAAGACCATTTCAGCCTTGCCCAGCATTAGCCAGATTTTCTTGAAGTATCTGCCTTCTCAGCAATTAAGATCTAGCCAGTAGTGCCTAGGCACAAAAAAGAACAATTGAAATGTTTTTGTGGGTGAAGTTTTTTTTTCCTCCTTTTGTATTGCTTTGTCCAAGGCTGCATGGTTTTTGTATTAAGAAATATACTTTCCTGAAAGATTTTTGTGTTCAGTATTGTTGTGAAACTGTCATTAGTGTTTGTTCTTGTTTATAGCAGTTGTATGTTCCTTTCATTGAACACTTTAATTTCAGGAACGTGATTGTCTAGTAAGGATAGCCTTTGTTAGGATAAACAAAATACTCTCTGTAGCCTTTAAATAACTTTTATTAGAGGTAAATTTATCAGAGTTTCAGAGTCCATCCAGCTAACCATTTCTTTTGTGCAAATGTCTAGCAGTGTTATATACATGCCAGCAGAGTCTGGGATAAATCACGATGGAGAACTTATCAGAAGAGTTTGTGACCTCAGCATATGAAACTTTTTAGAAGAAAACTCTACTGGGCAGTTGTTCAAAAAGAACAGCTCTCTGTAGTTTAATTATATTATTTTATTTTTATTGTAAAGATTAAGAATCAGTTGAATAAATAACAAGTTCAGTTTTCATTCTAGACTTGTATACCTTTCAGGTCAAGAGCTGTAGAGCAGTTTCTGGATCATAATTACCGAATTCATTGTTCCTTTTTAATATATTAAATTCTATTCCTGTGTACTGTGACCTAAATACTAACATAAGAATAAAAAAAAATCAGAATTGAAAAGCTTAATACGTTAAAGCCTTTCTAAGAGAATTTCAGGAAGGGAAGAATTTAACTGTTATTAAAGAGAAATCTAAAAGGGTCATTAAATTACAGTGGAAAAAAAATATCTGAGGATATTGTTAATATCTTGGCTGCACATGTCTCAAGGCCTGACTTTTTTCCCAAAAAGCTAGTAAGAATTTTTTTTGTCTGCTTAGCAATAGTGCTGGTGATTGATTTACAGTGAATGAGCTGAGATACAAAAATTCAGACAATGAGAAAACAATCCATAAAAGAAAAAAAAAAATACAGCTTATCTCATGAAAGAAGAACTCTTCTAAAAGCAGGGAAAGAATAGATAGTTTAAATTAACCTTATTCTATGCCAGAAATAGAAAAGTAATTTGCATCTTTTTCTGTTGACAGGAAATACCTGAAAACTTCAAAATTGTGGTGAAAATACAGACAATCCTAAGATACTGATTACTCTGAAAAACGAGCCTGTTCAATTAATATAGATGACTTCATTAGGTAAATCTTTTCTCTTTAGGCCTTCCTTTTAAGCTTCTTCAGTTGTACCTCCTTCTATACCAATGTTGTACAGATTGGTATTGGGTTACATAGGGAAAGTACTAACCCTGGTTTCCTCTGAATATCAGACAATTTTTGCTTCCCAGTCCTACATGACAAAGCATATAAACCTTATATATATTTCAACTGCTGCTTACAGTATTCAGAACAAACTGAAGATTTCTACTTATGTAACTTGTGTACTAGGTACTTTTATGTATCTTCTAAAAATAGCTCTAATAACAGAATTGGTTATTGTAATTTCTCTGGAGACTTATGCAGCCCTTCCCTGTCCATCTGTCTTGAGAATTAGGCCTTGATCTATAGCATAATTTGGAAATTTTAGTAATTGATTACTATATTCTATTCTTCTGGTCAGTAATTTAAGTTGGAACAGGAATCCTCTCCTAATTAAAGATAAAATTCCTAGCCACTTCTCAGCGTAACAATTAATGCAGCTATTGCTCTTTAACAAGATGTGGTAAACCTGGTAGGTGACAATATAAATAACTGTGCTGGAAATATACCTACATCTCTAAAATGGCAAAATTAATAGTAGCTTCTAGTATAACCTTTGTAACATTTTTTATAGCACTTGAACAATGACTGCTTTTGTGGTATTTTTGTAACTTCTTTGCCAGCCAGTATGTCTTGGAAATGACCTAATCAGCAATATAAATTAGCAAGAAATTATAACATAATTAAAAAATATTTTAAAATTTTCTTTTGAGTTGAAATGAAGGTCTCTTCCATTTGTCCTCTGGTACCTACCAGCATTCCAGATCTGTTAGTAACCTGCTTCCATTAGAGAAATCCAAATAAGTGTTTTTCAGAAACAGGAACATTTATCTTATGGGCTGGGTGTGGGATAGTTATGAAAGCATCATTGAGGTACCTAAAATTACCACTATCATCTCCTCCCTCCCCCCCCCCCCCTTACTGCCATCAAACCCCTTGTAGGAATCAGCAGAAAGTTAGCAACTGGGCAGATGGTTGGTTTTTTTTTTGGTCAACTGTACAGTAAGGCAGCTATTTTCATAAGAAAATAACTTTGTCTCTCAAGTCACTGAGGATCACTGAGGATCTAAAATGCAAAGATCAAAGCTTTCAGTGAAGTTTGGATTCAATAATGCAGTTTGGATTATTTTATTGGATTTATGTGGCAAGGGTTTGGTAGTGGAGGAGCTGCAGGGGTGGCCTCTGTGAGAAAAGTCCAGAACCAAACCAATGAGCAATGGTGGTTGCGTCTCCGTGAAAGCATATTTAAGAAGGGGGGGGAAGCTGTGTAACAGCAGCTAGGAGAGAGGCGTGAGAAAATGTGAGAGAAACAGCCATGCAGACACCAAGGTCAGTGAAGAAGGAAGTGCTCCAGGCACCAGAGAAGAAGTTTCCCTGCAGCCTGTGGAGAGGACCATAGTAGAGCAGATCTCCATGCTGCATCCTGTGGAGGAGCCAACAGTGGAGCAGGTGGATCTGACCTGAAGGAGGCTGCATCCCATGGAGAGCCCCGCCATAGCAGACTCTGCACTGGAACTGCAGCCCATGGAGAGGAGTCAACACAGGAGCAGTGATCTGGCAGGAGCTGTTGCCTGTGGGGGACCTGTGTTGGAGCAGTTTGCTCCTGAAGGATGGAGCCTGTGGTACAGACCCATATTTGGAGCAGTTCTTGAAGAGCTGCTGCCTGTGGGAAGCCCATGTAGAATCAGTTTGGAAGGACTGCATCCCATGGAAAGGACCCCATGCTGGAGCAGGGGAATAGAGTGACCATGAAGGAGACAGAGCAGCAGAGACAAAGCTTTAGGGACTGACCACAACCCCCCTTCCCCTGCGCTACTTGGGGGTGTGGGGTGGTGAAGTGAGGGTGTTTTTAGTTTGCTTTTAGTTTCTCACTGTCCCAGTCTGCTAGTGATAGGCAATTAATTATATTAATCTCCCTCGGAGTCTGTTTTGCCTATGACAGTAATTGGCAATTTCTATGTCCTTATCTCAATCCTTGAGCCCTTTCCATTGTATCTTCTCCCCCTTTTTCCTTTGAGGAGGGGGAGTGAGAGAGTGGCTATGGTGTAGTTTAGTTACCCAGGATGCTAAAGCCAGCACAGTCATATATTTTTTATTAAGGACAAGGCAGAATTTTCCCAATTAAAATTGTGTTAACTTTGTATCACGGCCATCAAAAGAAAAATCTACTTTGATTTGTCTTATGATTCATGAAAACAGTAATTATTAACTTTATAGCATCATGCAGGGGTAAAGGCCTAACTCTGTATTAACAAACATGAGTCATGTGTTTCATGGGTGGCATCTCTTTTTCCATAAAACCACAATAAATAGAGAAGAAACATTACCAAAACCTTTTCCAAAATTCAACTTAATTTTATTCAAGTGTACTTGAATTTGCAGGCACCCTGAAAGAGGCATTTAACAACTCTAGTACTGCTTCACTGCCTATCAAAACAATTTGAGTGATGGTTAAGTAGCCACAGCAACACTCACAGACCAACACAGAAGGAACAAATGTAGGAGCTTTGCATCATGCTCTTTATAAATGTTTTTGTTTTACAGCGCACAAAACAGTATATGCTTCTCGGAGTACTATCCAAATAATGTCAGCCCATCAGAGCAACGGGTTACAGGAATTCAAGTGGTGTAACCAGCCATATCAATTGTTTACCTATCTTAATTCTCACTGCTTCAGTCTCAGTGTTAATCTAATATTTACAGCAGGCTCTATCACAAAGGTCTCTTAACAGCCTCTAGACATAATTTTGACTTCCATCTGGTACCTGACCAGCCATGATGTTTCTTTGAGATCTGCTGCAAAACAAAAGTCAGGATAGGGATCTGAGGAACATCTTCCTACCTTACAAATTTGCACAGAATGGCCATTTCCAGGAGTAAATACTCATTCTGAAATCGGAGGCCTTTTTAGTAGTGCAACAACTTGCATGTGTTTACAAAGTGTACCCCTTCCCAAAGCAGAACAGACTCTTCATAGAAGTAAATTCTCATCTGTAATTCAGTTAATAGCTTAATTTATTCAATACATTATGTAAAATCTACATTGTTGTTTCACTTTTCATGTTTACACACAGGAGGATTGTTTTTTTGATTTTTAACCACAATGCGACAAGAACTTCTTATAGGAGATGCAAACATTAAACACTATGAGAATTCCTGTCTCATTTATCTTGTTTTTCATTGCATTCCCTTTATTTCCCTCCCAGTCTGGCTCAAATGAACAAGGTTTGTTTTCAAAAAGTAATCTTTAAACAGTTCCAAGTGAAAGTCTGACGATATGAAGACTGGAAACAGGGAAAACTCCTAGAGGGGTCTATAACTCTTCATTTGACAAGTTCTTATGTGAAAGTCAATCTTTTGGATACTGATTTGGAAAAGTAACTTGTGTGACACCAACTAAAAAGTGCTGATATGCAATCATTGTGGGAATTCAGGTACTTGATACTTGATAGATTTCAACTAGCACTAGGTAGAGATATGCAAATCCTCAAATGATGCAATTTCACCCCTCTTTTCATCTGTTGGCACTGTATATAAAGGGAAATATAGGTATTAACTACTTTTTTTTTTTTTAAAAAAAAAAAGCAACAAAGCTACTCAAACTGCCTGCAAACTGCAGTTAATGTACATGTAAGTTTGTCATGGATCAAAAGCCAAATTTTAACAGTAGGTGAAAAGCCAATATGTATTTCTTTATCTGGATCCTTGAACTTTGATAGTTATCCTATCCATATACAGAGCTCAGATTGTACCTTTTTTCTGACAGCATTATCATCCCATACCACATACTACATATCAGCATTATCCTAAGTCACAACTCTCCTCAGTACTTAAACATTACCCTTTTTATACATCAACTAATTTATATTTTTGTTTTTTGATTCTTTTTTTCCTTGAGAAAAATGTTTGAATTGCATAACCATTCTTTATGGTATTCAAATAAATCTAGATTCCATATTTTTTACAAGGAGGATAGAATGTCCAGCTGTTTGTCCACTCTAACAGCTCTTGCAGTTTCTGTTCAAATGATGTGGCACATCCTGTGAAATGAATGATCTAGCTACCAAAAAAACGTCTCAAAGCACATTAAAAATGCACACAGACTAAAAGTAATTAATATTGCCTAAGTAATGTTGTTTATTAAGGCTGTGCTTCAGAAAGAGGATGTTTAGGGTTAAGTAGCCTTCATCAAGGCACAGAATGGGAAGAGGTAAGCACAGCTGTCTGTAGAAGAGAAATTATATACGACCATGAGTGAGGTGTGCATGCACGCAAACACAATTTAGAACTGCACAGCTAGTCTTTGTAACAAAACTGAACACAGTTAAAAGGAAATATTGTGACTTTCTAGTGGCCACAGTTCTACTTCATTATTAAAAACTTGGCAAATATTTCCAAATGTAAAATTCACGATTTGAATAAATGAAATATTTTAAACAAAGTGTTTCATGGATCTGAACCCTGCATGGTTGTACTGACTGGTCTAGAAGCATTTTGTAGATGTCATAGGAGCATTTCACACAAAAACAAAAATGTAATTCAGGTGAATAAGAAACAGGACATTTCCACAGACATTTCTAATGTTTTCACACTTTCAAGTAGTTGAGTTCTTACGGCCACCGGTTTTGTAACAAATGTATGCTACAGCAGTAAGGGTTTGTGGATTCCTTTAGCAGCAAAGGCCCATTTCAAAGGGCACGTGGTCTTTTCGGGTTGATCTGTTTACTGGCCTGTTCCTCCTCTTGTAGAGCTGCTCGGAAAGATTTCACTTTATCTTTAATGAAAAAGAGAGAATGAGTACTGATGTGCTTGTACCCAACAAAGATCTTGAAACTAAGCCCTGAACTCCACAACCCTGCCCTAATGCACAACACAGAAAATTCCTCCACAAAAACAGCTGAAGCTACAAGAAACTCCAAGAGGATTAAGATAAGCTTAAATTCAGTACTCACCATACAAACAAGTTGTTTAGCAACTTAGTCCCTTCTTAGATGCTACCCCTGACTCTAGGCAGGATAGATTTGGAAACTACACAACTGCACTCCCAGTATGTAACCTGTTTCTGCTTAAATTCTGCTTCTAACTTACAGAGTACAGGAAGATACACACAGCATACTTTCTTTTCCTTCCCAGCAGCTTCTGAACCATTCTTAAAAGCAGACAAAATTGTATCTTAGTGTATGATCAACAACATTCTCCCCTAGTTTGTGCTCCCCTCTCTGCACTGCACTGGTGCAGCTTCACATTGAGTCCTGTGTTCAGTTTTGAGTGCCACAATACAAGAAAAACATAAAATTATTAGAGTCCAAAGGAGGGCTACGAAGATGGTGAAGGGTCTGTTGGTAGATGTTAACACAGTAGCAGGTGTCTTGGCAGTGAAACCAGTACTGCTACTAGCAATGCATACCATAAATGCTCAATTTAATCTAAACAAAGGATAGTTAGGAAAATATTATGGGTATCTGGGAGATTATTGCTAGGTGAATGAATAGTTTGGAAACTAAGGTTTGGACTGAGACCAAGGGCTCATAGAGCATGCGCAAGAAGATGAGGTAAAAAGTTCAACTCTGATGAAGACATCTTACTTCATCCCAACGACCACCCAGACGACCACCAGAGAGTACTACTCAAGCGCAGAAGGACTGATAAGATAATTAGCATACGAAGCGGGGCTAGGTGGAGCTAGGAAATGAATATGCATAGATGTGTTGAAAAACTTAATGCATATGTAATATTTTAGGAGATAAAAGAGAACGTGAGTGAACAAATTGGACGAAGTTAGATTTGGGCAGACATGCCCCTAACTTCTGGCACCTAATAAAAGCACCTTCATATAATCACTCTGTGGTTGTGTCTTTGTGAACACTAACATTTTGGTGATCCAGATGGGACCTTGTGGACACTGCTGAGGCAGCTCACGAACTGATCACACTCCAGCCGGCACCGAGGAGTTTCTCGGGGAGCCATCAGCCGCAACCTACCCCGCTGCTCACAGCGTACCTCTAGAAGGGTAAGAGAAAAGGTGCTTTCTAGTAACTGGTACAGATCTGGTCTGGGAGCCTGCTGGTCAGACACAGTGAAAGCCACGCACAGTTGGGCTAGGGAATTCCCGGGGTAAGCCTAGGCGTCGTCCGTAAGACAGTCGCGAAAGTGCTGCAGGTTCAGCATCAGTGGTCTGGTTTGGTAAAAGGTTATAGCTATAACAAATGGAAAAACTTAAAGGTATTCTGGGCGGCAATACTCCTGTACCACGATCTTCCCCTTTGGGCTGTTTACTAGCACACTGGAAGGAGGGAGGCTTTGGACAGGAGTTACGAAAAGGTAAACTAGTTGATTACTGTAATGTTTGGTGGCCACAGTATGAACTAGAAGATCAAGAGAGTTGGCCAGAAAATGGAACCTTGCAATACAATACTATCTTACAATTAATGTTATTTTGTAAGCGAGAAGTCAAGTGGGATGAGATTTCATATGTAGAACTATTTTTCTATTTGCGAGATAAGCCTGAGTGGCAATGCGCTTGCAGGATAATGGTGGCTAAAATAACTGTTGATGACCAATGTAAAGTATGCACAGGAGAAAAGCGGTGTATAGGGCATCAAAGGTTAGAGAATGGTATGTATTATAGACGGGACGATGGAAACACAGATTTGGAAGTAGCACCATCATCCCCATTAGAACAAGGGCAGGCTGTCAGGGAAGAAAGCAAGGACAGTGAGGGGAGGAGGGAGAAGAAAAAGGAGCGGTAGCTTCAACTACCCCGGTATCATATAGAACCCAACGATGAGACCAGAAAGGTGCTGCCAAATGCATGATAAGAGAGAAAGACGGAATAAGACAAAATAAAAACATAATTGCTCCACTTAGACAAGGAGTAGGGACAGAAGGGCCAGTATACATGTATGTTAAAGTTTACTCTAGGAGACCTAGTAATTTGGAAACAAGCAGCAGGAACGTATCAGGAAAACCCGGATAAAGTAGCTAGGGTAATGAAAATGATCATTAAAACCCAGAATCTGGACTGGGATGACCTTCAAGTAATATTAGATACATTAATGGACTCAACAGAAAAAGTTATGGTGTTAAGGGCAGCTATAGAAAGTGCAAGAGAGGATATCAAGAATAGCCTGACCCTCTTCAGAATCCAGCTGGCCAAGGAACTGGAGATCTGGACAACGCAAGGATAAATACAGGTACCCAGAAGTCAGTATTTGTTGTTAAAATGCGTAGATGATATTTTGATTGCCACAGAGAATGAGTCGCTCTGCACCCAAATAACTATCGAGATTTTAAATCAGTTAGGAATGGGTGGCTATAAAGTTTCAAAAGAAAAACAAAGCACAAATAGTTTGCTTGACTGTAACATATTTGGGGGGTGAGATTTCTCAGGGACAAAGAAGTCTGGGCATCAACAGAATAAAAGCTATATGCGCTATCCCGGAACCTCAAAATCTCCATGAGCTAAGGGCCTTCTTAGGAATGGCTGGGTGGTGCAGATTATGGATAATGGATTACGGACTCATAGCTAAGCCCCTTTATGAAGCTCAGAAGGCACGGAATTTTATTTGGGGAAAAATACAAAAAGAAGCTTTTAAGAAACTTAAAGACGCTCTAATGAAGCCACCAGCTTTGGGTCTACCAGATTTATCAAAAGATTTCCAGTTATTTGTACATGAAAGACAATGACTAGCATTAGGGGTACTAACTCAGCGACTGGGAAGCTGGAAAAGACCTGTGGGATACTTTCCCAAACAGTTGGATGCTGTAAGTGCAGGATGGCCCTCATGTTTGTGGGCAGTAGCAGCAACAGTTCTCTTAATCCAGGAAGCAAGGAAACTTACCTCGGGAAAACATATTGAAGTTTTTGTACCACATATGGTAACAACCGTTTTAGAGCAAAAGGGGGGGCCGCTGGTTATCACCCAGCCGGATGATGAAATATCAGGCAATACTAACTGAACAAGATGATGTAACCTTGAAAACGACTAACCTGTTAAATCCAGCAGTATTTCTAGGAACTGTTCCAGAAGAAGGACCATTGGAACACAATTGTGTGGAAATAATTGAACATACTCATGCTAGCCGCGAAGATTTGAAGGATGTACCCCTTGAAAGGTATGACTGGGAACTTTTTACTAATGGTAGTAGTTTTGTGGAGAATGGAACACGACATGCAGGGTATGCAGTAACAACCCTGAAAACAGTAATCAAAGCAAAATCTTTACCACCTGGAACATCGGCACAGCGAACGGAACTGATAGCCCTAATTCGAGCACTGGAACTGAGTAAAGGAAAGATGGTAAATATTTGGACAGATTCAAAGTATGCCTTTGAAGTGGTCCATGTTCATAGAGCATTATGGAAAGAAAGAGGGCTGTTGTCTTCACAAGGGGCCAATGTAAGATATCAAGAGGAGGTGTTAAATTTGATAAATGCGGTACATAAGCCAAAACAAGTGGCTATTATGCACTGTAAAGCCCATCAAGGAGGAACCTCAAAGATATCAGAAGGGAATCCATTGGCAGATCGAGCAGCTTGACAAATTGTTTGGAAGGTGTGAAAAGTGATGGCTTTGGTACCACTCAAGGTAGGCCCCACTCGTCTTAATCTTCCCAAGGAACCAAGATATTCACCAGAGGATGAGAAATTAGCAAATCTCCTAAAGGCCCAAAAGAACTCTGATGGATGTTATGTAACCACTACGGGCCAGATAGTAATACCCCCCTTGGTGATGCAAGAAATACTTCAGACAAAACATAATGAGTGTCACTGGGGCGCAGAGGCAATGGTAACATTTTTGAAATGTAGCATTATCTCTATGCATATGTTAACAATGGCAAAATCAGCAATGTCAAAGTGTGAGATTTGTCTGAAAAATAATCCAGTAGCAAGAAAACATGCTGAAATGGGAAGAGTCAGAATAGGAATAGAACTGGGAGATTACTGGCAAGTTGACTTTGTAGAGTTACCTAGGACTAGGGGATATAGATATCTGTTAGTAGGGGTTGATACCTTTTCTGGATGGCCAGAAACCCTTCCCTGTCACACCAATCAAGCTAAAGAGACAGTAAAGTGGTTATTGCGGGAAATTATTCCGAGGTTTGGGGTACCATTAGGAATATCCTCGGATAGGGGACCGCACTATATTGCATCTGTGGTTAAAGATGTAAGCCGGCTATTAGGAATTTCTTGGAATTTACATACTGCATGGAGACCCCAATCTAGTGGACAAGTAGAGAGGATGAACCAAACACTAAAGGGACAGATTAGTAAAATCTGCCAGGAAGCCAAAATACAATGGCCACAAGCTTTGCCTATAGCCTTATTGAGAATAAGGATAAAGCCAAGGAGTGGAATGTCAGTAAGCCCATACGAGATTATTTATGGAAAGCCTTATGAATCCCCAGAACCAAATCCTAATATGCACATAACAGGGAACCAGGATGTTTATAATTATGTATCATCTCTTAGCAAAACTTTAGTTCAACTTCAGAGTGTTTTGGTGTGGAACCGACCATTATCACTGGAAAATCCTGTCCACGATATTCATCCCGGAGACTGAGTGTACATTAAAAATTGGAACAAAGAACCCCTGACAGAACGGTGGGCCAGACCTTATCAAGTATTATTGACTACTTTTACAGCTGTAAAGGTAGAAGGGGTGGATGCTTGGATTCATTATACTCGGGTGAAAAAGGTTCCTGAACTTTGGTCGGTGCGAGCATTCGGAGATACAAAACTACAGATGAGACGCATATAAACATACAATGTTGGGGTTCTTAATAACGGTAATGATAACAGTAATTGTTTTGTGCAAATATCTTGTAATTGGGTTTCTAGAAATACCAGAAAAGTATAAGAAAAAGGAAATATTTAAGGGAGGAAATGTTACCTTGGAATGTGGAATGCAAGACGATAAACCAATAACAATTAGCTCTCTACAGGTGGTCTGGGAGAAAATAAATGACTTCGGACAGAGCCAGGAAATATACGTAAACACATCCAGGGACAATACAGGATTGAAAGCTGGATGGAAGGGGAAGGCGTACGTAAGTAATACCCTAGAATTGGGCCAACAACTGAGAGGAACTACCACCCTAACCCTGTTTAATGTTACTAATGTCAATGAGGGAAACTACCGGTGCATAGTAATACATGAAAATAGCACAGATTATGGGATAAGAGAAATATTGTTATATCCAAAATTGGATAAAGGAATATTGGTAGCCCGCCAAAAAGGATCTAGAAGAAAAAGGGAGGACCAAGTACCATGGACACAAGTGGTATAGATCCCACACAGGCAGCAGGCAGAGAATTTATTGGTAGGATTAATTAAAGATTTTGTCATAATGAAAGGAACTGATAGAATTACTGCTTGTATGCCCATTCCAAAGGCAGCAGGGGACCCGCTTGAGTGGGGTATAATAACCTCCCCACTGCCCCAAGTAGAAGGAAATAAAACAATTCAGTGTAAAGAAGGATGGGATAGTGCTTGGACAGTGAGTTTACTGCAGAAATTCCAGTATGGAGGGAATACATCATGGTGTATTAAATGGCAGGGAAAGCAGAATGGAACTGATCAGGTTTATACAGTAAGCCGGGTTGACAGCAGTGGTAAACAAGAATCAAAAGAGGTAGCTTGGTGGACCTGTGAGAAGAAATATACTTGTGACAGTAATAATGAAGATATCAAGCACTTACCCCCAGTATTGATAGCTCTTAGGGCAGGATGTGCTTGCCGAGGAATTAAGTATAATTCGGAAAGAAGTAGCCAGGTAAGTCAAATCGCAGCAGATTGTAGCTATACTACCGTACAAAGTCCAGGACAATTTGTATGGGCAGCCAGGGATGGAACTTGGACTACACACCTGCCGATAAATGGGGAAGTAAAAGAAATAACTTTAGGACTTCCCACACTGTCCAATATGGAAAAAAATCTCCTTTTAAAGGAAAATTGGAAACCCTACAAATTAGTAGAGCAAAAAGAATTTTAGAAGGGGCAGATGAAGATATATGGCATGAACCCTCGGATGGAGTAAAATTCAGTTGGGCATTAGAATCTCTATTTGCACAGGTAGCTAATTATTGAAATAGGGAAATGATTTATAAACTTACAGGACAAGTAAGTAGGCTCGCGAGAGCCACAAAAGAAGGCTTTAGAGATCTTAACATCCAACTACAAGCTACAACTAAAATGGTGCTACAAAATTGGCATTAGATACACCGTTATTAAAGGAACATGGAGTATGTGGATTTCTAAAAGATTGTATTGATCATTGCTGCATCCACATTCCAAATATGACTGCTGATGTAGAACATGACATAGAACAACTGGCTCGAGTGGAACAAGATGCAGAACAGGAAGAGAAAGATATGACAACAAGCTGTTTGGATAAAATTTTTAGTGGATGGAATATTAGTAATTGGGCTAAATCCTTACTGGAAACGGTAATTATATTGGTAATTGTAGGGTATTAATTTGGTTAACATTTGTAATGCTGAAAAGTCTGATCCTAAGGAAGACAACCTGGAACCGGAAAGTGATACAGACCATTGCTGGGCATATGGACCCACATCCTCAATACCCTCTACCGGCATATGATAATTTAAGATTTCAGAGAGAACCTGAGTAATCCAGGGGTTAAAGATGGCATCCACTCCAGATTAAATGAACCTGACCAGAGAAGTGCAAATGACATAAAGCACAAGTAGTGGATTTCGGGTTTATGGAATGTTGTGACAACCCTAATCTTTGTAATTTTCTTGATTATGTTACTGGTGTGTGCTGTGTGTGAGACATTTTAATTAGTTAGTGAAAGCATTTGCCCTCCTTGAAGGAGTGAAATACTTTCAAAGGGGGGAAATGTTGGTAGATGTTAGCATATTAACAGGTGTCTTGGCAGTGAAACCAGTACTGCTACTAGCAATGCATACCATAAATGCTCAATTTAATCTAAACAAAAGATAGTTAGGAAAATATTATGGGTATCTGGGAGATTATTGCTAGGTGAATGAATAGTTTGGAAACTAAGGTTTGGACTGAGACCAAGGGCTCATAGAGCATGCGCAAGAAGATGAGGTAAAAAGTTCAACTCTGATGAAGACATCTTACTTCATCCCAACGACCACCCAGACGACCACCAGAGAGTACTACTCAAGCGCAGAAGGACTGATAAGATAATTAGCATACGAAGCGGGGCTAGGTGGAGCTAGGAAATGAATATGCATAGATGTGTTGAAAAACTTAATGCATATGTAATATTTTAGGAGATAAAAGAGAACGTGAGCGAACAAATTGGACGAAGTTAGATTTGGGCAGACATGCCCCTAACTTCTGGCACCTAATAAAAGCACCTTCATATAATCACTCTGGTTATGTGTCTTCACGAAAACTAACAGGTCTACAGGGGAAGATGCATGAGGAGCGGCTGAAGTCACTTGGGTTGTTCAGCCAAAAGAAGAGGAGACTGAGGGGAGACCTCATGGCAGCCTACAGCTTCCTCATGAGGGGAAGAGAGAGGCAGGCACTGATCTCGTCTCTCTGGTGACCAGCAATAGGATACAAGGGGATGGCATGAAGCTGCGACAAGGGAGGTTTAGGTTGGATATCAGGAAAAGTTTCTTCACTAAGAGGGTGGTTGGGCACTGGAACAGGCTCCCCAGGGACGCGGTCACGGCACCAAGCCTGCTGGAGTTCAAGAAGTTTTATACAACACTGTCAGACATAAGGTTTGATTTTTGGGTGGTCCTTTCTGGAGCCAGGAGTTGGGACTCAATGAGCCTTGTGGGTCCCTTCCAACTCAGGTTATTCAATGATTCTATGATTTTCCTATGAATGCATTTTGTGATTATATTTTTGAAGTTTTTCACTGTAAATGGATAAACACATCATTTAAAAAAAAATAATCATAACTGTTATAAATGAAGTCTCAACTCAATCTGTATTTAGTAATATTTATAAAAGATAAGCAAACAGCGCTGAGTGCGCGGGGAGTCTATGCTCTACCAACACGCACACACGGACATCAAACATTCTAAATATACAGAACATTGCATGGCGTCTCCTGAATCACCCTTCTTTGTTCCCTGTAAACTCTTTTACATTCCTGATGGCCTCATCGTTAAGAGTCTGATGTTACCATCAACCATGGGGCTTGCCGACCCACATGGACACACTCCCACATCTCCCCCTTCTTTATTAATATCAACCATTTTCTTGACACGAATTATTATGCCATATATCACATCAGGAGAGAGGGAGAAACCTGAGAAAGGAAGCATGGTATTCCTTCATATTTCTATTCCTCTTCGCCCCACTCTCCTGTGACAGGTCCAAGAAGATGAAGGAAAACATAGTGACAGCGTGAAGAAATTAGTTCCAAAGTGAAAGGGGAAAAAAAATGAAATATGCAGTGACCATTATGTGCCACCAGCAGAACACAGAAGTTACTGGGAGAATCTTTGACTTCCCTTCTGTAAAGCTATGGAAGCATCATCCTGCCTGTAAAGACACGAGGATCTCTTAGGTAACCTTTACCTCCAGTGTTTTGTTTCAAAAGAGGTATCTAATAAGCTTTAGAAGAACAGAGAATCACCTAAACTGTGTTTTCTCACTGCTGGTGTCTCAAATTGTCTCTTCCTGAAGAGGAAGCCACCATTTAGTTTGTAAGAAGCAAAGGAACATACAACCAATTCTTTGCTGAGCAGGCCACATCTGATTTGCTTAATGCATTCTTATAACCTACAGTAGATACTCAGACTGAGAAAAATCTAAGATTTATCTTCTAAGGAATTTTCTAATGTAGATCAAAAAAAAAAAAAACACCAAAAAAAAACACCAACAAAAATTCTTGAATTTTCACCAGTGTAACTTGCCTGCTGGAGTGCAAAGATATACAGAATCTAAAATGAAAAATTAATCTCCATGAGGTATCAAGCTGACAAGATGATTTTAGATGACAAGTGGAACAGGCACTAATTAACTGCATTTTTTTTTTTCAACAAAGAGAGGCTGGTAAAATTCAGACAGAAAGGCTGCTGAAGAAAAAAGTACACTAACAAACAAGCTACTCAGAGCTTGATGCAACTCTTAAGCACAAATTAAAAAAAAAAATGACAGCAGGCTCCCTGCTACACCACAGAGTGCAACAGAGCAGGAGGTGGGAGTTGCAACTAATTTTTCCTCATTGCATTACCTTATTTTTTTTCCTGTACAGTTCTTTTGGCTTTTATTTTCCCTCCCTTTATCATTTTGGAACAAAGGAAAAGAAAAAGAAAGATGCAGGAACAAGTTCCTACTTCCTGGAGTCTTTTAAACTGGGATGAACGGAATACAGATGTGAACTTGCTCTTGGCAGAAGAATAAGTATTACTTCAACAGGGCATTAAAGGACAGCATAAGAGGAAAAAAAATCCCAAAATATAAGCACGCTCTACAAACTGCTAATAATGCACACAAAATTAATTAAAAGCAATCTACCTCTAAGTTCGATCAGAATATCAATTTTCTGCTCTAGAATTGCTTCAAGTTGTGTAGCATAAGAATCCACATCATAGTCCACTTCTTCTGTCATCTCAAGAAGGGCTTTTTCATCTTCCAGCCATCTAATAGATTCCTAGATAAAAATTAGAAACAAACAAACAAAAAACAAAAACAAGTAAATAAGAATAAATTCTTTGATGGTGGTGAGGCACTGGAACAGGTTGCCCAGAGAAGTTGTGGATGCCTCAGCCCTGGAAGTGTTTAAGGCCAGGTTGGATGGGGTTTTGGGCAACCCGGTTTAGTGGATGGTGCCCCTGGCCTTGGCAGGGGGGTTGGAATTATAAGATCTTTGAGATCCCTTCAAACCCTGTACTGGGACTGGGACTGGGACTGATGGAGTTAACTTTCCCTGCAGCATCCCATGCAGTGCTGTGCTCTGCACTCCTAGCTAGAACACCACTGGTATCACTCCAGTGTTGTGTCTATTGCTTAGCAATACTGGCACAGCATCAGGACTCCCTCCAATCCCCGCCCCTCCCCCTCCAAAAGCCAGCAGGCTGGGGGTGGGCAGTTGACCTAAACCAACCAAAGGTGTGGTGTAAGGACCACACGGACACCAGGGTTCTTTCAGGATCAGTAACTGCTTTATTGATGACATAACTTCATTATCCTATGGAGGACATCATATTATCATATTGAGGACAGGCTCTGCTCTTATACCATTAGCCCCACAGCACTCCTTTTCCACTAACTATTCATTGGTCAACAACTTTGCCCGGCAACCGCAAACACCCAGCAACTTCCATGCCTTAATGGCTGGAGAACAAGCAACCAGAGACAGCAAGGTGTCTCCTCAATCACCCTTCTTTGTTCCCTCTAAACTCTTTACATTCCTTGATGGCCTCATAGTTCAGAGTCCAATGTTATCACAAACCATGTGGGGGCCACACTCCCACACAAAGGGATATTCTATACCATATGATATCACACTCAACAATAAAAGGTAGGTGTATTGTGTTTATATGGCAAGGTTTTGGTAACAGAGGGGCTGCTGGGGTGACCTCTGTTAGAAGAGTCCAGAAGCTGCCCCATGTTAGATAAGGACCAGTTTCAGCCTGCTCTAAAGGGATCTACCACTAGCCGGAGTCAAATCCATAAGCAGTGGTGGTTGTGTCTGTGAGCACGTATTTAAGAAAGGGGAAAATAACTGCTGCACAAAAGCAGCTGGGAGAGAGAGGAGTGAGAAACAGCCCTGCAGACACCAAGGTCCGTGAAGAAGGAGGGGGAGAGGTGCTCCAGGTGCTGGAGCAGAAGTCCCCTGCGGTCTGTGGAGAGGACCATGGTGGAGCAGGTTGTCCCCCTGCAGCCCATGGTGTACCACAGAGGAGTAGATCTCCACCATGCAGCCTTTGGAGGAGCCCATGGTGGAACAGGTGGATCTGACTTGAAGAAGGCCGCGGCCTGTGGAGAACCCCTGCCTGAACAGACTTCGGACTTGACCTGTGGAGAGGAGCCCATGCAGGAACAGGTGATCTGGCAGGAGCTGCCACCCATGGGGACCCATTGCTCCTGACGGATAGACCCCGTAGTATAGACCCTTATTGGAGCAATTCTTGAAGAGCCGTTGCCTATGGAAAGCCCATGTAGGATCAGTTCGGCAGAGACTGTATTCTGTGGGAGGGGCTCCACCTTGGAGAAGGGGAAGAGAGTGACCATGAAGGAGCAGTGGAGACAAAGCATTACAGACTAACTGCAACCCCCATTCCCTGTTCCTGTGTCACTAGGAAGGAGGAGGTAGAAGAGGGTGGAGGTGGGGGCAAGGTGTTTTGAGGTTTTTGGAGTTTCTCATTGCCCTAGCTTGTTAGTAATAGGTAATAAATTATAATAATTTCCCTACTCTGAGTCTGTTTTACCCATGACAGTAATTGTTGAGTGATCTCCCTGTCCTTATCTCAACCCTTGAGCCCTTTCCATTGTATTTTCTTCCCCTTTCCCTTTGAGAAGGGGGAGTGAGAGAGCAGTTGTGATAGAGCTCAGCTGCCCATCTGAGTAAAACCACCACAGTCATTTGTGGTGCCCAACATTGGATTTGAAGGGTTGAGATAACAATAAATGTGATCAGAGTGCTTTAGAGGGAACTTGCAATTAGAATTTAGTTTACAGTTGGTAGTCACAATGCTGTCTGGATTGCTGTTAATATTTTTCTATGTCATACTGTTTTATGTGATCTGCCATGTTCTCCCTTTTACTCTGTAGCAGATTGGAGAGTTTGTTAAAGCCTGTGTCTGTTTTTTTTTTGTTTTTTTTTTTTTTTTTTCAGTTTGCTGTTCTGTAAAGCACTGGCCTTGAGCCTAATCTGGTATTTGGGCCCTGCATTACTGTCATCTGTGTCTTTTGAGAACTATCTCTTGGAGAATATTAACAAGTACACTCTCTCTTTTTCCTCCTCTGGAAGCCAGTTTGTGGATGATATCAGGAATGGTACCTCCTCCTTTCCCTGTGTTGTAGGAAGACACTGCAGAACCAACAACAGGTCAGCTTCGCAAGGAACTGGGTAAGTACAGCAACGACTTGAGCTAAGCTGGCATTGGCATCCAGAAATCCTATTCTGACTGTCCTGTGTGATCACTTTGGCAGATGAAGCCTAAATCATCAACAGTTCTTATTGACATTTTGAGAGAGGCCTACAGAATGGAAAGAAGTGCCTATATATATCTGTTAAAGGACAGGGAACAGTGGTGATAAGTGGTTTAGTATATTGGTGATACCAATATACTAAAGTATGTGGAACCTGAGTGTAACACAAATGTTATGGAATAAGGGGCGGAGGTTGTGCTGGGTCTGGCTGGGATGGAGTTAACTGTTCCTGTAGTGACCCATACAGTGTTGTGCTCTGCACTTGTAGCTAGAACAGCACTGGTATCACACCAATGTTTTTTCTATTGCTGAGCAGAGCAATTGCTCCCAGACAACTGCTACGCATGTTGAGGCCCTGCTTCCCGGGATGTAGCGGGATGTAGCCGAATATCACTCATTCAATGGAAGTAGAAAATACATTTTTCCTTCCCTCTGTGCTTCCATACAGCCTTTGCTTGTTTTTTTTTTGTTTTGTTTTGTTTTTTTTTGTTTGTTTTTTGTTTTTTTCCTCTTCCTTTTCCCTTTAATTAAATTATCATTATCTTAACCTGTGAGCCTTTTTTTTTTCTTTCCAGCATACTTTCTTCTCCCACCCCCCCTCTTCTGAGGAGGAGGAGCAAGAGAGCAGTTGCGGTGGAGTTTGGCTGCCCAGTAGGGTAAAACTACCACAAACCTAAACCATTCTATGATTCTATGAAATACATTAGCAAAGGTATTAGTTTCATGACAAAGAGCTGAATTACTCCTTTTCTCAAGATGACCACATTTCTATACTGTCTAGTCACCTCATTATAACAGATTTCAATCCTAAAATGAATCCTTATTCCCAATTCAGCAAAGTTGTGTGTTTTCTACATAGTTTCTTAATTATAACAGCCATATCAGCAAACATAACATTATGTGGTTCTAAAGTCAGGCTTCATTTTTAAGTTCAGGATGGTTTCCACTGACTACAATCCCGGTGTTGTTATTGCAGTCATGGAGCAAAGATAATTCTGTCCATACTCAAAACCAGTTTTGAGAGAAAAAGAAGAGCTATTTTAAACTCTCTATTGCATGTGCTAACTCCCCACATAGACAAGAGTACTGTAAAGGTTGGTTAAACCATCTCTTGGGCACCTTTGCATTCCAAATATTACCAAAAAAGAGGAATTTAAAAAAATAGTCTTGCATCAAAGAATGCAACCAAAAGCTTAAAGCTTACAGAACCATGCAAAGCTAAGATCAGGAGAACTGATCTCATTAGAAATGCTTTGATTGTAAAAGAGAAAGCAGCTGACAGTTCTAGGCATGCTGGGCCTGAAATGCTAAAATTAGCTCTTCCCCTTTGTGCTCAGTAGCCCAAGTAATATCGAAAGCATCATCCAAACCCCATGTATGCTTTTTCGCACAGATGGAGCTCACATCGGGACAGGATTCATCTCATCTAATGTAAACTTATACATTCAAGAATCACAGGAAGACAGACATGTCCAGAGCACACTTTATTCCATTGGTGTATTTTAGGCATTTTTGTCAGGATAGGATATTTCATATCCCAGAATCAACAGCTTCCAGAAGAAAGCTGACAGAAAACAACTTCTGCCTGGTACAGCTTGTAGATTTTGTATTGGTGCAGCCCACCTCCACCCATGGCATAAACTAACAAGCCATGCTGTGAACTAAGGGAGCTGAGGCTCAAACACATTTCCTTCTAGTGACTGCTGTGAACAGCAGTAATCGCCAGAGGAAGGTCAGATGGACACACAGAGGCAATAACATCTTTAATGCAACTTGTCTTTCTAGAAGTCCCAAGCATTAGGACACAGCTATGGCATAAGACTTTCACACTTTTGTGTCTTCGGGACTAGTGTTTCATAACTAAATCTCTACATCTGTTGTAAAATGTTTTATTTAGTATCTTACTGTATTGCATGAATACACATCAATGTTCCATTAAGTTTGATGCCTACATTGGGAGATCTGTGTATTCCAGGTTTAATGTTCTGCTATTCTCTTGCAGTAGACATGCCAAACGGACAGCCTGCCTAAAGACTCTTAAGTTATGAACAGAAGCAACTCACATTTCCTTCTGAAAACTAGTAATTCATACTTATTATTACAATTTGTTTTGTGAATGTAAAAGGATCCATGGCACTGACCAGCATTGCACTACTGGCAGTATTCCTTCCAAAGACCCTGACTAGAATGAAAACCTTTATGTATCTGTAAAAAGGAAGCAAACAGGCAGTTAGAAAAATATGTCTCTTCTGGATCTCAGAGGGAGATGACCAAACTGTCAACAGAAATGGTTCTGATAGAGACATTACTATTAATTTCCAGCTTTGAAATAGGAATACTGGCATAGATTAGACAATGAAATCATAGAATCATAGAATGAATCATAGAAATGAAAAGTTCAAGACCAATCTGAATGAACTTCCTGCAACTAGAAAAAACACAGTCTCTAATGCTGGAAAAGGACTAAAACAGAAAATATCTCAGTAGTAAAAAGAAAGTAAAAAGAAAATAGCAACTTTTCTTAGAGTGAACAGTCTATTTAGAAATGCTTGTGAGAAAAAAAAAAAAGGAAAGAAAGAAAAGACATTTTTACTAGATTTCTGGGATGATAGAAAAACATGCTTCTCTTTCATCCTGGGCATGAAGATTAGTGGTTATGAGATCTAAACATCTGTCCCTATTTGTTTGCTACAATGTTGTTAGTGTAATAAAACAATTTAGAAAACCCTAACTGCAGAGGAATGACCAGATGATATCATAGAATCATATCCTGCATTATATGCGGGATATGTGCTTTACTTGGGAAAATCTGAATTCCTGGATTAGGATAAAACAAAGCAAAGATCCGTCCTTTACCTGGAAGACAGCCCTGTGGTCTTCTACTACTTGTTCTTCCATTTCTACCATTTGTGACACAGCTTCATGAAAAGTAAACAATTGTGGAGAAACTTCTTCTTCCTAAAAACAATAAAAGCTTGTTAGTCTGGAAAGAACTGTGGCTACAGGAAATATACTGAATATGTTCCATCCTATCACAGAGCATGAAAAGAAATATGCATAAAGCAGAGCTTGTCAAAAATAGAATTTTATACTTCTGACATAAAAACCTCCAGAAATGAGGGGAGAGGGCAATAAAAATAAAAATGTTAACAGAGTTAAATTTAGTTCATATTCATTAAATATTTCCAGCCACTCATCCTTGTGAATACTGGAAAACAGAATATTCCACATTAGAAGAACAAGTTAAAATAGTGGGAAGACAAAGTAACAAGGGAATAATGGTAATTTTTAGTAGGTTTTAACACCTACAGAAAACTAGGTTTTCTGTCAGGGCCTTTGTTGTGCGTGCCACAAAAGACAGACGATAATTTTCAGAAAAGAGAACACATCCAATGCATTTCAGGAAATCAAAATTAAAGTCATACTTAGAAAAAAAAATAAACCTAAAGTGAAAAATCTAAAAAATACATAGTGATTAATACATTAGAAGAATGCACAGCATAGATTTACAAACTGGAACAAACAGGACTTCTGTAGACAATAATCAACAATCAAAGGGGAAAGCACTAGGTAGTTTGCAATTCATTTTTTAGCAAGACATTATGGTTCCTTATACCATGCCTTTGAAATCTTTTAAAATATACATTGTAAAGATTAATTGAATTCCACATGAACAATGAAAAAATGTGATATGAAAGAATGTCTGTCTGTCCAGTGGGAAACTCGGAATCACATAGCATGTTCTAGAGCCCATTACTAAAATGAGAGAAATACAGCAAAGACCACGAAGAAGTGTTTGAGAAGGAAGAGAATCTTGAGAAAAATACATTAGGATAGTACAGATTTTTCTTTTCTATCTTTCACTGACTTTTTCACAAGTTTTAATCCCTATTGAACATTTAAGGAACCAGGACAATTGCTGATAATTAACAGTGAGGGAAAAATGTCCTTTGGAAGATGCCTTTCAGCCCCAGCTCCCTACTCGTTCAGTCCAAGGAGACATTTTGGGAACGTGGTGTGGTTCTCCCCCAAACTGGGCACTGGAGTTTCACTCCATGAAAATCAGGATGTCTGTAAGAGGAATGATGGGCAGCCAGATTCCTAAATGCAGAGAAAGGCAAACTCACTTGAAATGGGTGCTGGATGCATGGAAAATAATGCTCAAAACCACAAGTGTTTTAAATAAAACATACAAATTTCCCAGGATACTTCTAACTGTCTAATGCAAGATGAAGCTATACTGGAAAATATGCATACCTAAAAACATCAGTGCCTAGAACAGACACTTTCTAGACATTTAAAATCCTAATCAGTGAGAAAGATAAAGAAAAATAAAACATACTCCTCTCACCCTTCAAGAAACCTTTTTCTTTTTAAATCCTGTATGGGAATGAACTATAAAGTGAGATGGTGAAGATGCATGTTGTATATACTTAATTATACTGCTAACAGGCTATAAATATACATTGCTCTGTTGTTTGTTTTTTTTTTCTACCGTGGTATTTATTGTCATCTCTTTACATATAATGCTGTAAACTACTCACATTTTGTTCACATAGCAGTTTGAGATCATCTCTCTGAGGAGAGCTCCCCATGCTCCACTGCGTGCCCAAGTCATCAATCTGATTGGGAGTGTGGTGTATAATGGGACGGATATCCCCTGTAGCACTAGGATCAACTGTCAGCTCCTTCACCCTACAATCAGAAAATATTTCATTTCCAAATTAATAACTTCCTGTGCAAAGTAGCTACCACCAAAAATAAAGCTCTATGGGTTTATATACAATTTAATTCATTTAACATGGATGATGATGCTACCTTCACAAATTTAATGTGCCAAGAAGACATTAGTCCAACTTGTAAAAACCATGGACCATTCAGATTCAACTAAATTGGATCGAAGTCCATTTTCTAACAAAAGTAATTTTTAAAATGAAATCTTACTACTCATTAAAATGCTGAGGGCAAAAATCTCCTCAACATGAACTCCTTAACAGTAAATAATATATGATAGAAAAGTTCATTCAACACCCAAAACTTGACCATCTTTCTTTTTTCTGTGCACCCAATTGTGTTTTAAAGAAATAATAATGAATATAACCTTAAACTAAAATAATTTCAAAGGCAAAAATATCTTAAACAGACTTGTCAGATTTGGTTCACTAAATATACAAAGGTGACATCACCATTTTCTTTTCTTTTCTTTTCTTTTCTTTTCTTTTCTTTTCTTTTCTTTTCTTTTCTTTTCTTTTCTTTTCTTTTCTTTTCTTTTCTTTTCTTTTCTTTTCTTTTCTATTTTCTTTTATTTTATTTTATTTTTTAAATGTATGAAGGAAAATAGCAAGCCTGGATACAAAGGGTAGATGTTTAAGGAGGATGAACAAAGTACTGGGAAGATGACTGAAGATCATGCAGAACCATCACCTGCCAAACAAAATTTTTTTTTTTTAAAAAGTGCATGATTCAAGGCAAGGGGAATAATGTGAAAGGTTGGTCTGTAAAAATACATAGCTAAAATAAAAACTTCAAAGTACAGATTAAAAAATACATAGCTAAAATAAAAACTTCAAAATAAAGATTTAATGTATAGAATAAAGTAGACCTGGTGACTGAAGGAGAAACATCATCATACTCATAGGAAGGAGAGAGATCAGAGCGACTGCCACTACCCTGTGAGAAGGGAATGTCCGAAGGACTAATTCCAAATTCCTTTACTCTGCAGTAGCAAAATACAGCATCAAATTAAGAAAAAATGACCTCATAAACACAGTTAAAATGACAACTCTTTCTTAAGTATTCTTCTTTTATAGTTTAAAAACCTAATAAATTATGTTTAAATTAAAACACAAATAAAAGCATCAACTTACTTAAACTTTCTGCAAATAAAGGTCACTAACAGACCTGGAAAAAAACAGCACTACTAATCTGCAGGAGAATACAATAGCAATGTTTTCAGAAGAGTAATTCCAAAATTTAGTTAGTGCAGTAAATAATGTCTGAGTAATGGCTGCAGTGGCTTAGGTGGAGCTTGGCTGCCCACCTGAGTAAAACCACCTCAACTTCAAGTACCCAAAAGGGTACTGGTGGGCTTTTGGCATAGTTGCCTTGGAGATGGAGGACAGTAGCCAAAAGGATATCACATACTTTATGACTCCATGCTGAACAATAAACCTGGGGGGCTGTCTGGGCAGGGGAAGAGGCTGCTGTCTGGGCATTGTTTGGCAGGTGGTGAGCAATTGCATTGTGCATCACTTGCTTTGTACATTCTATTATTATTTTTATTATCATCATTATTACTATTATTATTTCTCTTCCTTTTCTCTCATATTAAACTGTATTTCAACTCATCAGCTTTTACTTTTTTTTCTTCCCAATTATCTCCCCTGTCCCACTGGGGGGGGGGGGGGGGGCGTGAGCAAACAGCTGTGTAGTGCTTTGCTGCTTGCCTGGCTAAACCACAACACCCTGAAACAACATACAAAACTGATACCAAGATGAAGAAACAGATTCAGCACAACTGTTTTTGTATTTAATTTTTCTGCAGTGTCTTTTTCTGGAGTGATTTCAGCAATGCGTAGGCTATAAGGGACAGGAAGATCCAATATGTCTTCATGAACACAAAACTCCCTCCTTTACATTAATACAGGGGACTAGACTAGATGCCTCATTTTCACAAGGAAGGAAATTACACAGACCAGTCCAAGCCAGACAGGCTTGCTACTAATTCCCTTGATTCAGGGGCAAATTCAGATTCCAAGAGGAACTGGTGATAAGCTTTTATAGCAGCCCTTTTTGCCCATTAGTGACAGTAAGGAGTGCCCAGACAAACAGAAGCAGACACAATTTTGCCCTTATCTTTCATTTGGGCAAGAAAATCCGATTCCAGACCAATAGGTGGTAGCCTTTTCCAGAAGAACAAAACAAAACACGCACACACACAAAAACAAACAAACAAACAAACAAACAAACAAAAACAGCAGGATTACTGATGGCCTAGGTGCTAGCTTTGTGAACTCCAGGTCTTGCTGGAAAACTGTAGCAACTCTCACTGCAGCATACACAAGATTGCCCCAACTATGTGAAATTAAGCAGAACTGCATCTGGGAAAGGCTCCTTTTACAATTGCTGAAGATAGGCTAACGCTTTCAGAGAGTGGTACAGGTGTCAGAGGTGCTGACTCAGCCTCTGGAGATGCTTATTTCTCTATGTATATTATAAAGTCACTGATGGATTAGCCAGATTTTACTTAGGTGTCTCAGATATTTGCTTATAGTTAGAAAGTACAAAAGCTGGGACACAGCAACTGCAGAATTTTGATAAAAATAAGCTAGCAGATATACATCAAATAGGCTGGAAACAGCATGCTAACGGGATGAAAAAGCACATTATAGTCAGCATGGATTCAGCAAGGGAAAGTCATTTTTGACCAGTCTGCTACCCTTCAATGAGATTACTAACTGGGTAGATGAGGGAAAAGCAGTGGGTGTGGTCTACCTTGACTTCAGCAAGGCTTTTGACACTGTCTCCCGTAACATCCTCATGGGCAAGCTCAGGAAGTGCAGCCTAGATGAGTGGACAGTGAGTTAGATCGATAATTGGCTGGATGGCAGAGCTCACAGGGTTGTGCTTAGTGATGCAGAAATTAGTTGGAGGCCTGTAGCTAGCGGTGTCCCCCAGGGGTCAGTACTGGGTCCAGTCTTGTTCAACATTAATCAGTGACCTGGATGATGGAACAGAGTGCACCCTCAGCAAGTTTGTTGATGACACAAAGCTCGGAGGAGTAGCGGATACCCAAGAGGGCTGTGCTGCCATTCAGAGGGACCTGGACAGGCTGGAGAGTTGGGCAGAGAGGAACCTCATGAAGTTCAACAGGGGCAAGTGCAGGGTACTGCACCTAGGGAGGAATAACCCCAAGCACTGGTACAGGCTGGGGAGTGACCTACTGGAGAGCAGCTCTGCAGAGAGAGTCCTGGGAGTCCTGGTGGACATCAGGCTGACCATGAGTCGGCAACGTGCCCTTGTGGCCAAGGAGGCCAACGGTATCCTGGGCTGCATTCAGAAGAGTGTTGCCAGCAGGTCAAGGGAGGTGATCCTCCCCCTCTACTCAGCCCTGGTGAGGCCATGTCTGGAGTATTGTGTCCAGTTCTGGGTGCCCCAGAACAAGAGGGACATAGAACTACTGGAGCGAGTCCAGAGGAGGGCTATGAAGATGATTAGAGGACTGGAGCACCTGTCATTCAGGGACAGGCTGAGAGAACTGGGCCTGTTTAGCCTGGAGAAGAGAAGACCAAGAGGGGATCTTATCAATGTGTATAAATATCTGAGGGGAGGCTGTCAAGAGGATGGGGCCAGACGGTTTAGTAGTGCCCAGTGATAGGATAAGAGGCAACAGGCACAGACTTAAACACAGGAAGTTCCATCTGAATATGAGAGGGCACTTCTTTACCGTGAGGGTGACAGAGCACTGGAACAGATTGCCCAGAGAGGTTGTGGAGTCTCCTTCTCTGGAGATATTCAAAACCTGCCTGGATGCCATCCTGCGCAACATGCTCTAGGTGACCTTGCTTGAGCAGGGGGTTGGACCAGATGATCTCTAGAGATCCCTTCCAACCTCAACCATTCTGTGATTTAGTTAATGTCAACATATTACACACAAGGAGAAAATTTAGTCTTGGCATAACTGAGAGTCCAACTGATGGAAAAAAGCAGTTGCACCTGTTTCCTCTAGAATTATAACTAGTTGTTATTCCATGGATAAGCAGGGCATGGTAACATTTCAAATGTCTTCCTGTGTTAGGAAGTATGGGTGCTAAGGGTAGAATTGAAGCCAAGATGTTTCCTATTGCCTGGAAAAATGTAACTGTCCATGTACTTACATGTGTTTTTCCATGTCAGCATTTTTTCATTTCTCTCAGTGAAGCACTAATGTTAGTGACATTACTGGTCAGATTTTGGAGCTAGAGAATTTGGATTTGAAGGACTTAACAAATCATTTTGATTATTGCTATGATACAGTCATGCACTCAGCTCTGAGACTAGCCTTCATCTCTTTGATCTTTATCCATTTATCAGTATAAAGAATCAAATTCTATTGTAACTTTAAGGAAATTTGGATGGTTTCACTAAGGTGTCAGTGTAGTTTTTTTGCTTTTTGATTTGTTTTTAAATGGAGTTTGAGCTAATTAAGGGAGTATGTGTATGTGTATGATAGACTTTCATTGCTTTAAGTGCTGAGAGGAAAAACCTGTGTTTTCTAACTTTTTCCCAAAGCTGGGAAAAAGCAAGGCAACCTTGAAGAAAAAAGGGAGGCTTGTAGCTTGTGTAGTCTTTAGCTGAGAAAATAAGGAAACCTTGGAGGAAACAGAGACTGGTAGCCTTGAGCTAGCAGAAGCAGAGAAGATAAGGGATGAAAGGTAAAAAACAAGAAGGAGAAAACAGCTGCAGGAAGATTCCAGACTGACCTATGGTAACCATTTGCTCATTAAGGGTCATTAACATATTAAAATCACACCTATCAACATGATAATGTATGCTAATGTGGGATTTTGTGCCCCACCCCTGCTGGTCCTCTGTAATGCACAAACTCAGTAGAGATAAGTTAGGTGAGCTGGTACAGCCAATCAAAAGTAGCCAGAGAGCTAGTTTTCACAAGTTTGCTGGGTATAAATGATGGTGATTCAAGCCAGAGATGTGCTTGCTTTGCAAAAGATTGCCAAGCACCTGACTCTGCAGAGTTATGTCTTTAAATAATTAAAAGACCTTTGTGTGAATTCCGATTCTGTGCGCTTATTGTCGGGGTGCACTGGGCATGAACCTATGGACAACATAACTGCTTTTGACTTGAAAGTTGATTAGACTTATGTCCTGGTTTCAGTTAGGACAGAGTTAATTTTCTTCCTAGTAGCTGGTAGAATGCTATGCTTTGGCTTAGGATGAGAAGAGTGCTGATAACACCCTGATGTTTTAATTGTTGCAGAGCAGTGCTTACACCAAGCCAAGGATGTCTCAGCTTCTTGCTCTGTCCTGTCAACAGGCAGGCTGGGGGTGCAGCAAGAGCTGGGAGGGGACAGACCCAGGACAGGTGACCCAAACTAGCCAAAGGGGTATTCCATACCATCTGACGTCATGCTAAACAATATATAGGGGTGGCTAGCCAGGGGAGGGGGGCCGGACTGCTCGGGGTGAGGCTGGGCATCGGTCAGCGGGTGGTGAGCAATTGCATTGTGCATCACTTGTTTGTACACATTATTATTAGTAGTACTATTATGATCATTGTAGTTATTATTATTATTATTATTTTTATTGTTATTATTATAAGGGCACTTCTTTACCGTGAGGGTGACAGAGCACTGGAACAGATTGCCCAGAGAGGTTGTGGAGTCTCCTTCTCTGGAGATATTCAAAACCTGCCTGGATGCCATCCTGCGCAACGTGCTCTAGGTGATCCTGCTCAGCAGGGGGGTTGGACTAGATGATCTTCAGAGGTCCCTTTCACTCCCACCCGTTCTGTGATTCTGTGGTTTTTTGAAAGGTATCTCAGCCAGCACTCTAGGGAATCTGGAGATGCCTCCAGAGCAGGGGCAAAACTAATAGTGGCGTCTTCCATACTCCTTGCACTGCAGACTATAACCACCTCCGGTGAGCCTCACCTTTGTGCCTGGCAAAATTGTGGAAAAGATCCTCCTGGAAGTAGTGTCAAGGCACATGCAAGAAGAGGTGATCTGAGAGAGCCAGCACGGCTTCATCAAGGGCAAATCCTGCCTGACCAGTCTGGTGGCTTTCTACAATTGAGTGACTGCATCAGGTGACAAAGGAAGACTGACCGATGTCATCTACCTGGACTTCTGCAAGGGCTTTGACATGGACCCATATGACATCCTGGTCAGTGGATAAGGAATTGGCTTGAAGGTCAAACACAGATACTGGTGGTCAATGGCTCTATTAGGACTTAGGACTCGAGGAAATGACCACAAGTTGCACCAGGGGAGGTTTAGGTTAGATATCATGAAAAACCTTTTCTCTCAAAGAGTGGTCAGGCACTGGAACAGCCTGTCCAGGGAGGTGGTGGAGTCACCATCCCTGGTGGTGTTCAAGAAGCACCGCCAGGTGCTACGAGAGATGATTTAATAGTTTAGTATTGGTGACAGGAGGACGGTTGGACTAGATGAACTTGTAGGTCCTTTCCAACCTTGCATTTCTATGATTTCTATGATATCTATATCCAAGTGGAGGCCAGTGATAAGTATTGTCCCTCAGGGATCTTTCCTAGGACAGGTACTGTTTAATATCTTTATCAATGACATAGTGGGATCAAGTGCACCCTCAGCAAGTTTGCAGATGACACTAAGCTGAGTGGTGCAGTTGATACAATAGAAGGACGAGATGCCACCAAAGGGACCTGGACAAGCTTGAGAATTCGGCCCACATGAACCTAATGAGGTTCAATAAGGCCAAGTGCAAGGTCCTGCACCTGGGCCAGGGCAATCCCGGACATGAGTACAGACTGGGAGAAAGAACTCATTGAGACCAGCCCTTCAGAGAAGGACTTGAGGGTTATGATGGATGATAAGCTTGACATGAGCCAGCAGTGTACGTTTGCAGCCCAAAAAGCCAACTGCATCCTGGGCTGCATCAAAAGAGGAGTAGCCAGCAGGTCAAGGGGGCTGATTGTCCCCCTCTACTCTGCCCTTGTGAGGCCCCACTTGGAGTATTGCATCCAGGTCTGGAGCCCCCAGCACAAGAAGGATGTGGATCTGTTAGAGCGGGTCCAGAGGAGGGCAACAAAGATGATCAGAGGGCTGGAGCGCCTCTCCTACGATGAAAGGCTGAGAGAGCTGGGGTTGTTCAGCCTACAGAAATGAAGGCTCTGGGGCGACCTCATTACAGCCTTTCAGTACTTAAAGGGGACTTATAAAAAAGATGCAGAGTGACTCTTTGCTCAGTCAGATAATGACAGGGCAAAGGGGAATGGTTTTAAACTAAAAGAGGGGGGAGATTTAGATTAGAGGTTAGAAAGAAATTTTTCACTCAGAGGGTGGTGAGACACTGGAACAGGTTGCCCAGAGAGGTTGCGGGATGCCCCATCCCTGGAGGTGTTCGAGATCAGGTTCAATGAAGCCCTGAGCAACCTGATCTAGTGGGTAATGTCCCTGCCTATGGCGGGGGGGTTGGAACTAGATGATCTTTGAGGTCCCTTCCAACCCAAGTCATTCTATCATGATTCTATGATAATGGCTTAAATGCAGTTTCTACTGATTCTACTGTAATGGTTGTAAAAAATGACTAAATAAATGGCCGAAACAATTACACATCATGGAACAACAGTATTCTAAACTCCAGTGATCAACAGCCAGGATAGCTACAAGCAATAACATTTTCCATACCTATTTGCATATCTCAATGTATTTAGAGTGTTTTCACATGATGCCATCCCTGGAGAAATTGTAGCAATCTGCAGAAAACAAGCCATGCATTAATAATTTGTTTTGTACAGATAAAAGGGGGTAGATGAAGTTAAATAAAGGGTTTTTTGTTGTGTGTTGTTTTTGTTTTTTAATCCCGTTTCATTTGAGATCTATAAAAAACATCTACTCTGTTCAGCTGTCCCAATACAATGACACCTCAAGAACAGATGTCAAGTCAAACCTTTTTTTCTTTTTTTTTTTTTTTTTAACCATACCTGACACATTAAGAATTCATGGAAATTTCAGTCAATTTCCGACATCTGACAGCTTGGTAGCATAATATGTAAATGCAAAACTCTAATTGAAAAAATAAGGCTCCTCAAACAGGAAATATGCAACTCAGTAGAAAATAAGTCTAATGCATCCTGCATATGATTACCAGATATTATTTTTATATATGCATCTTCAAAAGCTGTTCTCCATTCAAGCAGACTGCATACTGATTAAGAGATCTGTTTGTTGGCTATAGTCCAAAACTGTACTTAATGATATTAAAGATAAGCAATTAAAGATAAGCATGTGTTTAGGTATTTTCCTAAATAAAGATGTTTTCTTTTTCTGAACTAGAAATTATCTGTAAATAACACTTGATAGATAACTTATTATCAGACATATCTGGGATCTGTAAGTCTTTCTTTTTCCAGTTAAATAAAATACCCTGAAGATCTCACCTTCTTTTCAGCACTCAGCAAAAATAAAAACAGTGATCATGCAACAGTGGCATCATGATTTGTCCTAGCTTCTCTCAGTAGTCCATTTTTTTAATCTCTGCTCCTTTCAGGAGAGTCATAGAGGCACTACCCAGGAAAAACATCTCTATGATCCTAAACACTACAATTTTTGCTGGCAGCACAGCATCAGGAGACTGAAACTGATGAAGATTAGATAATCCTGGTCTTTTGTTTCATCCTGCTGACATAATGCTGCTGACATTACCATACAAGAACACAGGTAGTCATCCTGAGAGGAATTTCTCCTACTGGGGAGAAAGGAAAAATATACTATGGGAAGGGGTTAGAAAGTCTAAAGAGCTTGCTAATACATACACTGCTTAAATCTCTAATACTGGTATGCATCAGTTGCTAATGAAAATAATTGTAGATTTGAAAAGATCATTTGATTGCATGTCTCTTTATAAAGCATTGTGGATACTAATTAACAAAAATCTACATGTTCCTAAAATCTTTCCGAAGTCACTTTATATGAAAGGTGCATGCATCACTTTCATCAGTTTACTGTTCACAGTATACAACATGTGGCAACTGCCATAATGCCAGGAGACTGTTACGTCTTCAAGTGTATAAGGAACAGCTATAGGGAAGTGCCACTGTAGGTGCCCACAGCCATGATACTACCTTCAGGGCACAAGACTCTGTTGAAAAGAAATACCCACTAAGTCACATGTTCTCATGCCCCAACAAGCCCAGTCCAGGCAGGACAGGAGGACTTCACAAGTCAGCAGAAGAGCACCTGAAGAGCAGCATGAAGTAATTCCAGAAACTCCAGCCAGTAAGTCAGCTTCATCAGGGGCCCAACTAAAATGTCTCTAGGCAACACACATAGCATGGGGAATAAACAAGAGGAGTTAGAGACATGCGCACACCTACAGGGCTATGATTTTATTGGCATCATAGAGACGTGGTGGGATGATTTCCATGACTGGAGTGCTGGAATGCAAGGATACAGGCTATTCAGGAAAGACAGGCAGGGGAGATGAGGAAGGGGTGTTTCCCTCTATGTCAATGACTACCTGGAGGGCATGGAGCTCTGCCTAGGATGAGGATCTGACTGACAGTTTATGGGTTAGGATTAAAGGGAGGGCAGGGACAGGTGACATAGTGAAAGGTCTGCTACAGGCCACCCGACCAGATGAGGACCTCTACAGACAGATAGAAGCAGCCTCATGTTCACAAGCCCTGGTCTTCATGGGAGACTTCAACCACCCCAATATCTGTTGAAGGGACAGCAGAACAGGGCATGGGTAATCCAGGTGGTTCCTGGAATGCAATGATGACAACTTCCTTCTCCAAGTGATAGAGCAGCCAAGGAGGAGAGGTGCTATGCTGGACCTCATGCTTACTAACAGGGAGGGGTTGGAGAGGAATGTGAAACTCAAGGGCAGCCTCGGCTGCAGTGACCATGAAATGTGGAGTTTAGGATCCTGAGTGCAGTGAAGAGAGTACACAACAAGCTCGCTACCCTGGACTTTGGGATAGCAGAATTTGGCCTCTTCAGGGATCGGCTTCGTAGAGTACCATGGGACAAAGTACTTGTACTTTGTGTCAGAGTACCTTAGGCACAAAAAGAAAGCCTATGGCTGCTGGAAGCAGGATCAGGCAATATGGAAGAACTACAGGGATACTGTTCGTCTTTGTAGGGAGAAAATTTGTGCAGACAAAGCCCAATTAGAGTTGAAGCTGGCCAGGTCTGTGGGAGACAATAAAAAGGGCTTTTTAAATATGTGAACAGAAAAAGGAGGACCAGAGAAAACATAGGTTCCCTACTTGATGGGGATGGTCACCTCACAAACAAGGACATAGGCAAAGCAGAGACGTTTAATGCCTTCTTTGCCTCTGTCTTCAATGCCAATGATGGACTTTGGGACCCTGGGTACCCTGAGCTGGAAGACCATGACAGTGGGAATGACAAACTTCCAACCGACCCTGAATGTGTGCGGGATTTGCTGCTCCACCTGGATCCATACAAGTCCATGTGTCCAGATGAGATTCATCCCAAGATGCTTAGAGAGCTGGCTGACGTCATCACAGGACCTCTCTCAATTATTTTTCAATGGTCTTGGGAATCTGGAGAGGTCCCAGTAGACTGGAAGCTGGCAAATGTTGCGCCAATTTTAAAGAAGGGCAAGAAAGAGGACCCTGGCAGCTACAGGCCTGTCAGTCTCACATCAGGGCCTGGTAAAATTATGGAGAAGATGATCCATGAAGTTACTGAAGCGCACCTGGGGGACAATGCAGTCATTGGTCCCAGCCAACATGGGTTCACGAGGGGAAGGTCCTGCCTAACAAATTTGATTTCCTTTTATGATAAGATCAAGGGAAGCCATCTGATGTGATCTTTTTGGATTTCAGTAAAGCTTTTGACACAGTTTCCCATAGGATCCTACTGGACAAAATGTCCAGCATACAGCTAGACAAAAGCATCCTACGATGGGTGAGCAATTGGCTGACAGGCAGGGCTCAAAGGGTTGTGGTAAATGGGGCCTCATCAGGCTGGCTGATGGTCACTAGTGGGGTCCCCCAGGGCTCCATTTTATGGCCAGTCCTCTTCAATGTTTTTATAAACGATTTGGATGTAGGACTAGAAGGTGTTTTGAGCAAATTTGCTGATGATACTAAACTTGGAGGAGTTGTTGACTCTGTTGAGGATGGAAAGGCCTAGCAGAGAGATCTGGACAGATTGGAGAGCTGGGCAATCACCAAACACATCAAGTTTAACACGAGCAAGTGCCGGGTCCCGCACCTGGGAAGGGGCAACCCTGGCTATATGTACAGACTGGGCGATGAGACGCTGGAGAGCAGCCCCGCAGAGAGTGATCTGGGGGTTGCGGTTGATAGCAAGCTGAACATGAACCAGCAGTGTGCCCTGGCAGCCAGGAGGGCCAACCTTATCCTGGGGTGCATCAAGCATGGTATTGCTAGTTGTTGGTCGAGGGAAGTGATTGTCCCACTCTATTCTGCGCTGGTGTGGCCTCACCTCGAGCTCTGTGTGCTGTTCTGGGCACCACAGTACAAAAAGGACATGAAACTATTGTAGACTGTCCAGAGAAGGGCTACAAAGATGGTGAAGGGCATAGAGGGGAAGACATGTGAGGAGCGGCTGAGGTCACTTGGTCTGTTCAGTCTGGAAAAGTGGTCTACAGCTTCCTCACGAGGGGAAGTGGAGGGGCAGGCATCGATTTATTCTCTTTAGTGACCAATGATAGAACCCAAGGAACTGGAGTCAAGCTGCGACAGAGGAGGTTCAGGCTGGATATCAGGAAAAGGTTCTTCACCAAAAGGGTGGTTGGACACTGGAACAGGCTTTCCAGGGACATAGTCACGGCACCAAGCCTGTTGGAGTTTAAGAAGTGTTTGGACTGTGCTCTTAGTTATATGGTCTGAATTTTTGGGTAGACCTGTGTGGTGTCAGGAGGTGACTCGATGATCTTTACGGGTCCCTTCCAATTCAGGATATTCTATGATTCAATGATTCTATGAAAGGCCTGGGGGGAAGAGGGCCCCAAGAAAGCTGGTCTCTATTCAAGGGTGACCTCCTCCAAGCTCAGGAGGGATGCATCCCAACAAAGAGGAAGTCAAGGAAAAACATCAGGAGGTATGTTCATGGATGAACAAGGAACTGCTGACTAAACTCAAACACAAAAAGGAAGCCTATAGGTACAGGCTTCTATAGGTACACTGGTGATAAAAGGAAGGCTAGGGAAACTGTGGGCCCTCTTTCAAAGGAAACAGGCGATCTGGACACCCAGGATATGGAGAAGGCTGAGGGACTCAATGACTTTTTTGCCTCAGTCTTCTCCAGCAAGAGACCTAGTTTGCTCTATAGCCCAAGTCCCAGAATGCAAAAGAGCAGGGACTGGGAGAGTGATGAACTGGCCACTGTAGGAGAAGATCAGGTTCAACACCAGCTAAGGAATCTAAAGGTACACAAGTCCATGGGACCTGATGAGATGCATCCGTGGGTCCTGAGGGAACTGGCAGATGTAGCTGATAAGCCACTGTCCATCATATTTGAGAAGTCATGGCAGTCTAGTGAAGTTCCCACAGACTGGAAGAGGGGAAACATAACCCCCATATTTAAAAAGGGAAAAAATGAAGATGTGGGGAGCCACAGGCCAGTCAGTTTCACCCCTGTGCCTGGCAAGATCATGGAGAAGATCCTCCTGGAAAACACGTTTGGGCGTATGGAAAATAAGGAGGTGATTGGTGACAGCCAACATGTCACCAGTCACCTCCAGGTGATTGACAGA